GCCTCCCAAGTAGCTGGGACCACAGGCGCCCGCCACAACGCCCGGCTATTTTTTGGTTGCAGCTGTCATTGTTGTTTGGCGGGTCGGGGCTGGGGATTCGAACCCGCCACCTTAGGTGTATGTGGCTGGCGCCTTAGCTGGTTGAGCTACAGGCGCCGAGCCAACTTCCTTTTTTCAATGTCAGTCCCTCTGTGTCAGTAGATATAAATTTCATGAATTCTTTTTAGTAGCTACATAATATTACACACACACACGTTCTTACACAAAATGCTTAATGAAAGACAGTGTTATGTAGTGACTAAAACTGTTTCTAGGGAGTAAAATCATTTCTTAATATTAAAAAAATATAAAAGAAACAATAGAAAATCCAAATAATTTTTCTGATTCTCCCTTAAAACTATATAATTGAATCCACATAATTTCTTTAGAAGTGCTAATTCAGTATTTCACTGACTCAAGATTTGGCAGAACAAAAAGAAACAGTTTAAGTTTTCCCTCTTATTACTCTTAGATTCTATTACAACTTGGGCCCTTGAATTACTAGTGAATTTTGCAGCTTTTGAACAATAAAACTCAGAAAAAAAATAAAAATTATAATTTCTTTTCCTCACTTAGAAGAGGAAGTAGGACCAACCAGTAGACATTTTAAATATACATACAAAAAATTATTGTCAGATATTTATAACTTTTTGTTATAAATTGGTCTGTCTATAATTAAAATGTCAAGATTCCCCCTTAAAATTCCTTAAAGAGAGATGATTTATTCTACAAATATTTATTAAACGCTTACTTTGTGCTAATTGATTTTTCAGGTGGTGGCCGGGAAGAAGTTTTTTCTTGAGTTCATAGCCAGGGAAACCACGTGTTCCAAGGAGAGTGATAAAGAGTCGGCCGGAAGTTGTGAGACCAAAACCGCTGGCGTGAGTAGTGATATGCGCCTGTTACTTACTTGATGTTTTAAGAATCACTTGTTTGGCTCCGTGCCTATAGCTCAACCGGCTAAGGCGCCAGCCACGTACACCTAAGGTGGCGGGTTCAAATCCCCAGCCCGGACCCGCCAAACAACAATGACGGCTGCAACCAAAAAATAGCCGGGCGTTGTGGCGGGCGCCTGTGGTCCCAGCTACTTGGGTGGCGGAGGCAGGAGACTCGCTTGAGCCCAGGAGTAGGAGGTTGCTGTGAGCTGTAATGCCACGGCACTCTACCCAGGGGGACAGCTTGAGGCTCTGTCTCAAAAAAAAAAAAAAAAAAAAGAATCACTTGTTTAAGTATCTCATGAATAACTCTCATCTCTCTTTTGGCTTCTATTTTCATGGACAGCAAAGGCTACACTGCAGTGCTGACGTTTATGTGATACCTTGGGAGAAAAAAATTTACCCTACTGTCAACTGTCAACCACTAGGAACGGTATGGTTCTAATTAATGGTATGGTTCAGCGTGGGTTCTAATTAATGGTACTGTTCGGCTTGGGGTCGGTTCTGCTCATTCTGAAAAGCCATATTTGGGGGGTTGAAAATGAACCATTACTAAAGTGAATTGTGGAATTATCTTTAAAAAATGGAGTGTGTGTGTGGGGAGGGGGGACTCACACTTCTGTGGCTGAGGTAAGACAGAGCTCTCTACTGCACTCTGCCGATATCCAAAGGCTTTGTGAGAGATGGAGACTCGCAGACTCCACTCCACATCTACTGAATCAGAATCTGCACAGTAAGAAGATTCTCAGGGCATTTGTAAGCAGGATGCAAGTTTGAGAAGCATTAGTTGACATCATTTTCTTTTTTTTCTTGAGACAGAGTCTCAAGCTGTCACCCTAGATAGAGTGCTATGGCATCATAGCTCACAGCAACTTCAAACTCTTGAGCTCAAGTGATTCTCTTGCCTCAGCCTCCCAGGTGGCTGGACTACATGCACCTGCCACAACGCCCAGCTATTTTTTGGTTGCAGTTGTCATTGCTGTTTGGCAGGCCTGGGCCAAGTTCGAACCCACCAGCTCTGGCACCCTAGCCGCTGAGCTATAGGTGCTGAGCCAATACCACCTTTATTAAATCTTAAAAGAACCCTGGGAGATAGTAACACTTTTCCCATTGCCAAGGATGAGACACTTAAAAATTAGAAAGTCTGAGTGAATAATGATGTTATCAGGTGCTTCCTCTGTCCCAAGCACTGTACTAAGGGCTTCACACTCATTTTCCATTGGTCCTTCTTGTAACTTTTTGAGGCAGGTGCTGTTATGATTCCTATTTTACAGAAGAGAAAACTAAAGCTAGTGGCACTAGGGTCAAATCAGAGCTCACCCTTTTCATCATGATGCTGATTACTAGCAGGGTCTGGCTTGACTTCAAAGCCCATGTTCTTTGCACCACTGAATGCAATCTTCAGTGCAAGTTGCCTCTTCTCCCTCTTTGCTGATTTAGGTTTTTGTCAGGTGTGGGTGTGTATATAACCTTACACAGACATTATATGTGTACAAAGGCTGCATTTCAAGTTTGTGAACATGTCCTAATGTGCTTCAACCCAACAATGTAATCATGGATATTCACTTCCGATATATGTAGTTCACAAAGCCACTAGGGCCTTTTAGGATAAAAGCAGTAATGGTGGTAATAGAAATAGTATTGATAATTAAATAATGTGCTGTGGTGTTACAGAGTCATAGGCTTTGATTTTTTCCAAAGGTTTATTTTACAGTAAAGTATTATTAAGAACAACTGAGCCAGGTACAATGGTTTATGCTTGTAATCCTATCACTCTGGGAGGCCAAGGTAGGAGGATCACTTAAACGCAGCACTTCAAGACCAGCCTGAGCAAGAGTGAGACCCCATCTCTACTAGAAATAGAAAAATTACCCAGGCATGGTAGTAGGCACCTGTAGTCCCGGCCACTCAGGAATCTGAGGAAGGAGGATGGCTTAAAGCCAGGAGTTTGAGGTTGCCGTGAGCTAGGCCAGTGCCATGGTACTCTAGCCTGGTCAACAGAGTAAGCATCTAAGAAAAAAAAAAGAACAACAATTAATGTTTACAAATTTTAATTTTAATGTTTAATTATCAATTAAGAGAAAAAAGTATTATTCATCCTTTCTGGAACATTAATGTAGTATTTAAATTCTGGCAAAGACTTGTAAACCAAGATAGCATTGCCAGATCTCAGTCTCCTCTTTCTTAATTGATAGTTTGGCTTTTGAAGTAATACATTTGTCTTCATGTTTCCTGTTTAGATATCATTGATGAAAAGGCCTCCAGGTTTCTCACCTTTCCGATCAGTACAAGCAGAGGAAGTAAAAGAAGGAACAAGTGTAAGTCTACCCCACACTTCCATGGTTCCTGTACAAGATGAAGAACAGGATCCAAGAAAAGAACAAGGATCCACTAAAGGGCATGGCTGGGACCATGAAAAGCAAGTAAAACATGAGCATGGCCACGACCATGACCATAAACATGAGCATAACCAAGGCCATGGTCATCAAAGGGGACATGGCCTTGGCCATGGACATAAAAAACAACATGGTGTTGGCCATGGACATAAAAAACAACATGGTGTTGGCCATGGACATCAAAAACAACATGGCGTTGGCCATGCACACCAACAGCAACATGGTCTTGACCACAGACATCAAAAACAACATGGACTTGGCCATGCACACCAACGGCAACATGGCCTTGGGCATGGACATCAACTCGAACTTGAGTATGATCTTGAACACCAAAGAGGCCATAGCCTTGACCATAGACATAAATATAAGCATGGTCATGGCCATGGAAAACATAAACATAAAGGCAAAAACAATGGAAATTTTGATTCAAAAACAGGGCACTTGGTAAGCTCTTCTGAAGATAGTACTACACTCTCAGCACAGACACAAGAGAAGACAGAAGGGCCAACACCCATCCCTTCCCTAGCCCCGCCAGATGTAGTAGTTACCTTTTCTGAGTTTCAGGACTCAGATCTCATTGCAACTATGATCCCTAATATTTTACCAGCTCCCACAGAAAGTGATGATGATTGGATCCCTGACATTCAGATAAAACCAAATAGCCTTTCATTTACCCCAATATCAGATTTTCCAGAAATAACCTCCCCAAAATGTCCTGGACGCCCCTGGAAGCCGGTTAATGAAATGAATCCAAACACGGAAATGAAAGAATTCCCTGATTTCAATCTTTCTGATGCTCTTTTTTAATTTACACAGCCATGGATAGTTCTTTAACACTTCATCATTCCCTCCCCACTTTGTCCAGAAACAAATCATCCTGATATAATACAGTTTAGAGGTCCCAATCCTGATATAATACAGGTCCCAATCCTGATATAATACAGGTCCCAATCCTGATATAATACAGGTCCCAATCCTGATATAATACAGCCAAACTCATGAAGCTTCAGAATAGCCTAGAGAAAAGTGGCGGGGCTCCCAAGGAAGACGCTGTCGATTTCTATGTAATACATAAAACTGTGTGGCAGAATTCTAAATCCTTTCTGAGTTTTCTAAACTAGCAGAAAATGGACAAAGGACCCTATGGCCTAATGCAATTTGCTTCTCCGATAATAAATAGGTACCTTAGGATGGATGCCATCCTTCATACAAAGATGCTTGACGTTCTAAATAAACTGTGGTGCCCATCCCTAAATGCATGTGAAAATGGGGAAGTCAGGGGACTCACTCCTGAACTTATTAATTAGGTAAAAAAGTAAATAAAAAGTTTTAGACATCAAAGAGAGGTAATAAGAGATAAGACAAGTTGGCTAAAGGGAAGAAAGGGAAAAGCAAATTACTTGACTTTCTGTTTCCAGAATGGGCTGTTTCTATCAGATAGGTCCTCCCACTTGACAAAGCTATTCTGAAAGTTCCCTTTCTGGGGGACAGTGCTCATTCTGAATCAATAATTTCTGTTTTACTCATTAACCACTCTTTGCAACAAGGCTTTCATACAGGAATTATCTGTTTATTTTTTGCTAAGGCTAGGCTGTGTAATCTTTAGTTGTTTTTTTTTTTTCTTAATTTCAGAATATTACTGGGGTACAAACCTTTTGGTTACATAAATTGCTTTTGTATGGTTTAGAATAAAGATTACTGCTTTTCAAGAAAATAATTTAGAAGCAGGCTTTCTAAAGAAGCTTTTTTTTTAGTGGAAAGGAAATACTATGAGATGCGATACAACCTTTGTTCAGAGATTTTATGAGGAAATTCCTGTCTAGCCTCATTTTAGGGTCATATCATTATTTTTCCATAATACTGAAGACCTCTGAATTTTGCAAAAGAGAATAATGGATTGTCTTTCACTGCCCTACAGTGCAAGGAAGATATATATTTCATAACCTATGCTGTATTTTTTTGCCTAGAGAAACAAGAGATGGCTTTAAACAGCCACACTTATCTATGGATGCGCGTGTCACTGCCACTTCACTTTGTCGGATGCATTTGAGCCTCTGAGTTTTTATTTCACTTTAAATATTATCTGTGCTTTTAAATAAAGAACCAGTGATGTCAGGAAAAAGTTTCACCTTGTCAACTGGTTGCTTCCCTTTTTTAAAAAGGTTAAATGATAACAACGGGTTAATGGAGTTTCGCTGTCCTTCCAGAAGCACGTAAGGTTCTGCGAGTACCAGGGCCGAGCCCCAAAGGCACAGGCAGAGCCAGCACCTGAGAGTGAGGTCTCTTGACCAGTGGACAGAATCTTCACTCCTGGCACAGTAGCCCCAACAACCTCTGCCAGCAACCTTGAGTGGAAGGACAAGAAGAAAGATGGGATAGCATTTAAGTAGCGAAGAACGCCATTTTATCACTCTGTTTCCAGGTGTAATAAAGTTTAGTCGTGATGTGCTCACTCCTGCTTAATTTACAATGGTCTCCTTTCAACTCATCTTGTAGCAAATTCCAGCTGGTCAGACAGCAAGCCGGACATCTCAGCTCTGTCATGAGATTTGCAACCCAACTCTGAGACACTCCCTCTAACCATGGCAGAAATCTCACAGGTGGACTTTCTTACCAGCAGATCCCACATGAAGCAGGGTGTGGTGGCTCACGCCTGTAATCCCAGCACTCTGGGAGGCTGAGGCAGAAAGATTGCTTGAGCTCAGGAGTTCAAGACCAGGATGAGCAAGAGCAAGAGCAAGAACAAGACCTTGTCTCTATTAAAAATAGAAAAAAAATGCCAGGCATTGTGGCAGGCACCTATAGTCCCAGCTACTCAGGAGGCTGAGGCAGGAGGATCACTTGAGCCCAAGAGTTTGAGGTTGCTATAAGCTATGATGACATGGCACTTTACCCAGGGCAACAGAATGAGAGTCTGTAAAAAAAAAAAAAAAAAAGACCTCACAAGAGCGCTAAATGAAGGCTCTTAGGGGTCATTCTTTTACCAGTCAGCTAAAAAGACTCTCTTCCACCTTTCCTCTTCTCCCTTATCCTAATCCCTAGGCCTAAGCTAAGAGTAATTTGGCTTGTTTACTATTGGTTTTTATGATCTAGATAATTACCAAAAAAGAAAACAAAAGTCTTGGCTAATATGATGTCTACCAACTTCTCATTATCTGAGAATATCTAACCTCCAAAAAGTTTAAAGAAAATCTGAAATTATCTTTCTAGTCCAGGTAAAAGAGAAAATGGAAAGCCAATAAAATAAAAAGTGATAGTGTTTTCTGTAATAAAACATTTATCGAGCGTCTAGCATAGCTATTTACTGGGCTAGAAAATTTACTTTCGGCTCATAACATAGTCCTCACAACCCCTCTAAGGCTCCCATGATCACCTGTCTTTTACAAAGAGGACACTGCAGCCCCCAGTGCTCTGCCTGGGGTCAGGGAGTTAATAAATGAGCATTCAAACTCAGACCTTTGGAACTCCTTTATACCATGTCATTTTTTTTTTTTTTTTTGAGTCAGAGTCTCAAGCTGTTGCCCTGGGGAGAGTGCTGTAGCATCACAGCTCACAGCAACCTCAGACTCTTGGGCTTAAGTGATTCTCTTGCCTTAGCCTCCCAAGTTTCTGGGACTACAAGAAGCCCACCATGATGCCTGGCTATTTTTTTGTTGTTGCAGTTGTCATTGTTGTTTTAGCAGACCCAGGGCAGGTTCGAACCCGCCAGCCCTGGTGTATGTGGCAGGCGCCCTACCCAATGAACTACGGGCACCACCCTACACCATGTCATCTTGAGGCTTCATTATTAATCTTGTCATTACGAAAAACACATACTCCTCTCAGACTTTCAGAGAATGATTATCTCAATCCAAAAAATCCTGATGACTGTCTCCTCATGGCTGGTGCTGTTCTGAGTTCTGTTCAAGGTAAATTGTAACTGAGTCAAGCAAAGGCATGGACTCCTTACCATGCACTTCCAGAAGGGCCCGAGAAGAAGAGAAATGCATTTTAAAAGACACAAATTCTTTCTAAGAAGTTACAGTCCTACTGGGAAGTCGAAAGCATATGTCACAGATAGGTAGAGCAAGCATGATCGTTTATGGAACAGTGAGCAGACATGACCAATATGATAAGATGCTGAAGAGGTGGAGGGACCAACTTGGAAACTGGAATGAAGCCCAGTGGGGAGTTTAGGTTGAAGGTAGGCAGTAGAGTTCCTTCAACAGTTCTTGATGGGCCTGAACTGTGTTTAAGACAGGTTATTCTGAAGGTCCTGTGCAGTGTGGACCAGAGTGAGAAGAGCTTGGCATCAGGGCACCATTCCAGGCTGCTCCAGCCTCTCGTGTTTTAATAGAATGATCGCTCAGGGTTGTTACCTAAAGTCTATAGTCTCGCTTTACTCAACAAGACTGTTTCCACTCTAGGGGCTTGCTAGATGATATAAACATGAGTTTTCTGTAACTAGGACCTATCTTTCTCACTTTTTAAATGCCTGCACCCAGCCCCATTCCTGAGTCAGAGGCACACCCCAGGGGTATAACCTTGACTCTAGAACCACCACAGCTAAAATAAAAAGTGATAGGAATTTTTACATTTTCTGTAATAAAACAGCTTCCCCTTCATGCTTCTCTCCAGTTTAGGGATTTCCTCTTGTCTAGTCCAATCCACACTCCTCACATTGTCCAAGCCTAGCTCCCCAACCAGGAGGCCTGGATTGGCTTTTCGTTTGTTGTTTTGTTTTTCCAGACAGGGTCTTGCTCAGTCACCCAGACTGGAGTCCAGTGGTGCAATCATAGTTTACCGCAGCCTTGAACTCTTGAGCTCAAACAATCCTCCCACTTTGGCCTCCCAAAGTGCTAGGATTACAGGGATGAAACACTGTACCTGCCCTTGTTGGGCTTTTACCCCACCTTCCAGTTCCTGCTTCTAAATTTGATTCTAGGCTGGGCACAGTGACTCACATCTGTAATTCTAGCACTCTGGCAGTTCAAGGCAGGTGGATAGCCTGAGCTCAGGAGTTGGATACCGGCCTGAACAAGAGCAAGATCCATCTCTACTAAAAATAGAAAAAACAAAAAAAACTAGCTGGCATTGTGGCAGGCACCTGTAGTCCCAGTTACTTGGGAGGCTGAGGCAAGAGAATTGTTTGAGCCCAAAAGTTTGAGGTTCCTATGAACTGTGACATCATAGCACTCAACCCTAGAGCCACTGAGTGAGACTCTGCCTCAAAAAAGAAAGAAAGAAAAAAAAAAGAAATTAAGATGAGGAGCAGCAGCTCATGCTTACAATCCCAGGACTTTGGGAGACAGAGGCAGGGGGATTGCTTAAGTCCAGGAGTTTGGAGAAAGCTGCGGTGAGCTATGATTGTACCACTGTACTCCAGTCTGCTTAACAACAACAACAAAAAAGAATAGAGATTGCAAGATGGGTATAAATGGCATTTCAAAGACACAAATTACTGAGGATGAAGATTGAAGAATGAATGACAGGAATAAATCAAAGATAACAAGAAGTTTCCATCTAGGTGCCTGAGGGATGATGACATTGACACAAACAAGGAAACTAGGTGCCAGTCTGTGCTTTCTAGTAGTTCATAAAGAAAGAGAGTGGCAGGAGGTGCCTGTGGCTCAGTGGGTAGGGTTCTGACCCCATATACCAAGGGTGGTGGGTTCGAATCCAGCCCCAGCCAAACTGCAACAAAAAAATACCCAGGCATTGTGGCAGGCACCTGTAGTCCCAGCTACTCGGGAGGCTGAGGCAAGAGAATCGCCTAAGCCCAGGAGCTGGAGGTTGTTGTCAGCAGTGATACCACAGCACTCTACCAAGGGTGACAAAGTGAAACTCTGACTCTAAAAAAAAGAAAGAGAGTGACCTAAAAGGCACATAATTTAAAACATTTCAGTTGTTGAATAAATGTATGAAATCAATATACAAATGGAGTATAAAACACACATTTCAGCTTGAATCCATCAGAGTCATTTCATTTACTCTGCTAACTGTGGCACTTGCCATACAAACAGGGTAGTATCCTTAGATACATGAGAGCCAGGCTGTGGAAAACACATAGGAAATTGCAATTACAAGATGCTTTATCATATCAAAATCAATAGAAAGTAATTATTCTTTGAAAGTAATCTTTATTTTCCTTTCCTTTTCTTTTCTTTTTGCTTTGAGGAGTGTCTTCTGCAAGCTATTTGAAAATAATCTTAGGTCGGGCACGGTGGCTCACCCCTGTAATCCTTGCACTCTGGGAGGCCAAGACAGGTGGATTGCCTGAGCTCATGAGCTCAAGACTAGGCTGAGTGAGACCCTGTCTCTAAAACTAGCCAGACATTGTGGTGGGTGCCTGTATGCCCTGCTACTTGGGAGGCTGAGGCAAGAGGATCACTTGAGCCCAAGAATTTGAGTTTGCTGTGAGCTGTGATACCACAGCACTCTACCAAAAGTGACAAAGTGAGATTCTATCTCAAAAAAAAAAAAAAGAGAAAGAGAAAGAAAGTAACCTTAACTTCTATTTCTACTACTGAGTTAGAAATAGAACTCTAGCAAAAGGCCTTTGTTATACTAGCCTTTGTGCCCTTTACCTTCTCTATATGGCAATTAGAGATGGTACTACACTGAATGTGTGGAAATAGCACTCTTCAATACATTCGCTAAAATCAGGTGTAAGACCAGTATGGTAGTGTAGGACTGTAGTCACGGCTGCTAGGGAGGCTGAGGCAAGAGGATCCCTTGAGCCCAACAGTTAGAGGTTATAGTGAGCTATGATTGTGCCACTGCACTCCAGCCTGGATGACACAGCAAGACATTGTGTCTAAAATTTTTTTTAATTAAAAACTTTTTTAAAAATGGATGAAATAGTAGTTCTTATAAAAAACATAAGTACCAGGTACTTTTTAGGTAAGATGTATTAGCTGGGTGATTTTATACTGTGCCAATTTGGCTAAGCAGTTTCCATTTTCAAGCAGCCTCTTGCCTGCATGGTTCTGGGTTAGAGTTATCCAAAAAAGAAATTTGCATAAGTCTTGGAAGATTGGGGAAAGCAGCAGCCACTACTCCCTGAAAGTTGTCAGGGTCAGAGGCCATGAGAGATGAACGCAGATGCCCAAGGGTTGCAGCCTGCCCACCGTCTCCCGGCTTGGCA